GTGTGCAACACCACGCCCAGCTAATTTTCTTGTATTTTAGTAGAGATGGGGTTTCACCATATTGGCCAGGCTGGTCTCGAACTTCTAACCTTGTGATCTGTCCACCTTGGCCTCCCAAAGCGCTGGGATTACATGTGTGAGCCACTGCGCCCGGCCGATGATCATTTTTTAAAACCAATATGGAAGTCAACATGTCAGTGACACCTGGTAAAATTGTACTTTAAAGAAAATGATGTACATAGAAAGTCATTTTAAAAATGTCGTGCATATAATGAAAGTTGCTTTTAACCAAACCGTACAACTTTACTGATCATTTTCTGAAAAGTACTATGCCAAGCACTAAAAAAGGTAACATAGAGATATACAGTTTTATTAAAAAATTATAAAAACAGTGAATGTTTTATGTTGGAATGTTTCTATTAAAATCTTAATTTCACAGCAATAATCTCTATTTTCTTTGACCACAGTTTATGAGTAAATGAAATATATATGTCCTACCTTATGGTTCTAAGAGTCAGAGCTAAACAAAAAGATATAATCAGGGAAGCGGTGCTTCCTCCTCACACTACTACCTCGTTCCTATTCCACGCTGCTTCCCCTAGGTAACCAATCTCCTTGGATGCTCTCCAGGTCACGAATACTGCCTTTCCTGAATTTGTTCTCTAGGAAGCTGAGTAGTTCCAGGCAGGAGGAGTGCCCGTTGTGTGGAGTGAGGCTGGAGACACTTATAGCCATACGCTTGGATCTTAGGTACATGATACTCTCCAGGCATGCTGGGGCTGGGCCTCAAGCTGATGGATGGGGAGGCCTGTAAATCTATAAATAAGAAATCACCCCAAGTTTGCTTGAAAGGCAATAGGAGAGAGGCTGGAAAAGAAGACATGCTTTTTTGATGAAAAGAACATTTGAGTGAGCAAATCCTGCATTAGCTGCAGTACAGAAATCCAGATTTAGACCTGGATCTTAAAACATACACGTATTTGCTCATCAGTGCAAAAGAAATTCAGGAAAAAATAAACACAAGAAACTAAGGAGATGGCATGGAATGTGGACCGAGAACAAAGCAGAAGTGCTGTCAGAATATCACAATGACAGTGTAAGCATAACATTACAATTACGTTTATAGTGTAATGGGAAAGAGGAAAGAGGTGGTGGTATGGTGAGGAATAGAAATGAGGTAGTAGGGGTCAGGAGGGAGCCACACTTCTCTGAGAAAACCGTTTTTTATAGCTCTGACTTTTATAAGCACAGTAATATTTCACCCACCTGCCAAATACCCCAAACTCCACAAACAAAACAACTAGCATGTGGGGGAACCCAAATACAGCAGTTTAATAAATGAACCGAACTTACCACAAATGGATAGTATAAGCACACCAAAAGGAGTAATGGGAAAAAAGGACTAACCTAGGTAACTTTGGTCAATAGTTTCTTCACTGGATATTTTAAAGCTTAAGACCAGAAAACTGTATGTAAAGGCTATAATTTAGTTAGCACATGTTTTTCTCATAGGAGCATGAGTTAGCAGTCCTAAAACTATTTAGATTAGAATCAGGCAAATAAGTCGATTGTAGATAAGGACATCTGGGTTTCTCACTGTTAGACAATGAAGCTATAAATGAAAGAGGAAGGCTAGAATGAACTTTGACTGTTAGATTGAAATTAGTGGCACCATTATAAACTCCCAGTATTAAATATATATACACACAGAAAGAGAGATACAGAAATATAGATGTGTGTAGATAACTAGGTTAGTCTACATACATGTATTCCCCAGTTCTGTCCACCGAGAGCACCTCATTCCAGTAGCAATAAGCATGCCTGGCACCCAGATTTTGGTTTCTAAACACCTTTCTCCAATAGAAGGAACCAGAGCTTCCTGAGGAAGTCATCAATTCTAGGCCTGTGGCAGGGAAAATACAAGATGAGTCTGGAATCATTTTGATGCTAGAAAGTTAATGAAGTGTTCAAAAAAGATGAGTCTCCTTAGAGGGACACAAGAGCCAAACTGAAGAAACTCTTAATGGCCAAAGCTGGAACAGCATGAGCAACAAAACTGATAATGATACCACTGGATTATAAATGAAAGAGTAAGATACACCCATGAGTCCATACTGATATACTTAACCAATTGAATAAATACATAAAAAGGCAGAAAAGATGGCTCTTATTTGCAACAGAATTCCAGTGAATAAATGTGGAAGAAAAGAGCAAAATAAAAAATCACTACTAGGCATAGTGGTTGCCGCAGTCAAAATCCACCAATGGATACTAAAATTAGTGGGTGTGAGTTTGGGAAGAAGCAGGAAATTTGCATAACCTCAAAGTATCTCTCTGCAAAATGTTTATTAGTCGTAAAGTGAAAAATGGTAACTTTATAGTAAGAAACTTGGAAGAGACCACCTTAACCAAGCGATCAAGGTTAACATCACCAATAAGAAGACATGTTGATATTACAAATTCTTTAAAATGATACATTGAGAAAGGTAATATAATGCATGTGGCATTTTTGACAAAATGGAATAACCTTATCCTAATCTTGAGGAAACTTTACGTGAACCCAAAGTGAGGGGTATTCTAAGGAAGAAGTAACTGGGACTCTTCAAAAGTATCAAGGTCATGAAAGCAAAGAAAGGCTGAGAAACTGTCACCAATAGGAGGAGACTAAGGGGACATGGCCACTAAATGTAATGGGAGATCCTGGGTTGGATCCTGAAACAGAACAGGGGCATTAGTGGAAAAATGGGTGAAACTGCAGCAAGGGCTCCAGTTCAGTGAGCAGTGTTATATTAGTGTTAATTTCCTGGTTCCGAACATTGTGCCTTGGTTACATAAGATGTTCTAATGGGGGAAACTAGGTGAGGGGGATATGGGAACTCTGTGCTATTTCTGAAACTTTTCTGCAGGTCCCAAATTTGATCAAAATAAAAAGTTAAAAAAAGAAAATAATTCTGCAAGCTTAATTAGTTCACTACAATCATTTATGTCTCTGTGTGTGCAAGTGTGTGAGTGAAGTATGTCCTCGAATAACTTCTCAGTGAAATAAAACACCGAAAGCTGCCATGTTTATATCAGAGACATTTTGACAAATACCCTTACTCCATTAATTATAGTATATTGTTCTAATAAGCATAGTTGTTGTTTTGATATTTAGACCGCATTCTAAAGCTACAAAACTAAAGTTAGGTTTATTTGTAAACATAATGAGCTGTACTTTTTTCCTCTTTGGGGATTTAGGAAATATCTTTTTTTTTTTAAATTATACTTTAAGTTTTGGGCAGAATGTGTAGGTTTGTTACACAGGTATACACATGCCATGGCGGTTTGCTGCACCCATCAACCTGTCTTCTACGCTAGATATTTCTCCTAATGCTACTCCCTCCCCTCCACCAACCCCTCTGACAGGCTTCAGTGTGTGATGTTCCCCGCCCTGTGTCTATGTGTTCTCATTGTTCCAACTCCTCGGGAAGACCTTGAGGAAAGCACTTTGGTGGTGAGAGACCAAAGTCTGAGCAGGAGTTAGCTGGGGACAGAGTGGGACACTGGCATTTTAGCAGATAGGCTGCCACTATGAATCTCCAGTGGGAACTTCCAGAGGAACTGCCAGTCTGAGTGAGATGGAAAACACTTTGGCTTGCTCTGGGAAGTAGAAAAAGGCCAGGTGGTCTGAGATAAGGCTGAAGAGACAGGCAAGAGTTGACCACACAGGATCTTGTAGAAGAACTGAGAATGATTCCAAGAAAAGTAGAAACCTCTGAAGGGCTTTGAGCAGAGGAGACACATGACCTGAGAAGTTACCGTCTCCCACTTTACCTTAGTGACTTTAAATGCTTGTTTATATTATGCTAACCATGGTTCTTTATTTTCCCTGAGGACAAGATATGGGAAGGGCCAACAGGGCAGCGTTTGATAAGCCACAGGGATAAACCTCCCTGTGAAATTCTGTCCCTGGAGGGGTCCAAGGAAGAATGACAGTGTATTGGACCCGCCTTGAGGGAGCTGCATAGACCTTCTGAATTCCATTACAAGTTTATCTGAAATGAAACACCAAGATTTCCCTACAAGGTTCACGACATGGTGTTTTTTTTTTTTTTTTTTTCCCCTTTGGATGTTTGGGTATTTTACAGCTGAGAGATTGAATTTTTTAAAAGTTCAAAAAATGAAAGCATTAGAGCATTAATTTACTTGAGAGTGGCAAAGTCATAGAACCCTTAGAAAGTCCATGTTGTACAGCAGACATTGCAGATAATCCTTCAGTTAAGAACAGGTAGTATCCAGGTAACTACATACATCTTCTAAGGTGGTCCTCCCAGCAGTCCTTAGACCTTAGTCCAAAGACCCAGGAGAGGACAGGAATACCCTGCGAAGAGGTAACAGAATATCCATGTCTCTTGGGTCAGAAAAGAGTTCTTATTGTTTGTTCTGCAAATTTTGTTTGAAGTCAAGAATATTACTACCTGCTAATGTCAGCACCCAACAGTTTTATTTTTCTCTCTCAATCTCTCTCTCTTTTTTTTTTTTTTTCAAAGACAGGGTCTCACCATTGCCCAGGCTGGAGTGCAATGGTGTGATCATAGTTCAGTGCAGCCTGGAACTCCTGGGCACAGGGAGTAACTAGGAAAATAGGTGCCTGCCAACACACCTGGCTGGTTTTTTATTTTTTTAATTTTTAGTATAGACAGGGGTCTCACTATGTCGCCCAGGCTGGTCTCAAACTCCTGGCCTCAAGCGATCCTCCCACCTATGCCTCTGTCCCCCCAAGTGTTAGGATTACAGGTGTGAGCCACAGCACCGAGGCTTCTCCGGTTAAAAACAAAAACAAATTTCTATCTGCCAGTTGCAAGCTCAGTATTTGCACGTCAGTCACCTCTTTCCATTCATGACTATAATTTCTTATTAATTTAGAAGATAAAATATTTTATGTATAATAGGTATTGTTCAAAATCTTTCCAAGATCTGTGTGCATACTTTTCTTGCCGTTGTAACATATTGAACTTAACTTTTTCTTTAACACCAAGGACTCCACTTTCACCGTCAACTTTCTTCCTGCATTCACTCTTATTGTTCAGTTCTGGATTAAAAGAGCAGGGCCTGAATCAAGCGTCTACAAAGTACAGTATTTAGAGAAGCTTTGTCGTTTCTTAAAATAATTTTTTAAAAGAGGGATCCTGGATATCTTTTTAAAAAAATCTTTTTCTCATATACGAGAAATACAGGGGAAAAAAGCAATCATGTTAATGAATCATTCTGGTTTACTGAATTCCAGTTGGTAGAGAGTTTAAACAACCAAACCAAAGGAAGAGCTCTTCAGTTAACTTTTAAACTTTAAAAAATTTAAAAACTTTTAAACGAGTTAAAAGTTGTCTTATTTCTGAAAAATCAAAGAGCGCTATCTGCACACGGTCATAACTGCAAAGGAAATCACGGCGTGGCCAGGGCAGGAGAGCTTACTTTAGAAGCTGCGTCTTTCCTAGATCCCGTTCCTTCCGGGCTTTCGGGGAGTTTGGTTTTTAAAACGCGGGCCTCGCGGCGCGCGGCTGACTGGACTGCGGGGCCCAGCGGCCGAGACGCGGAATCCACAGGGGCCCTCAGCGCGGCCGCGGCGGTGGTAGTGGGAGCCTGGGACGTGCAGACGAGGGGCCCCGCACGGTTACCGTCCCCGACCGCTAGTCACAGGCTGTGGGCACCCCGCAAAGCGCCCCCCGCCGAACTCCCCTCACCCCAATCCTCGGGACCGAAAGTGCGGAGCACGGAGACCTGCAAACTTGACCCCGAGCCTGGGTGCGCGAGGCGGCCGCGACTGTCCCTGCTGCTCCCCGAAGCCCCTAGGCTGGAAACTCCGGCCTCCGCCCGCCCGAAAGCGAAACCCGGCCAGTGGGCGGGGGGGCGAGAGCTCGGCCGCGCGCGCTGCCTGGCGGAGCCCCGGCCCGGGGACGTCCCCGACCAGCACCTGGCGGCGCGACCCACCTACCTGCCAGTCCCCACGGCGCTGCCAGCAGTAGCAGCAGCAGCGGCCGCAAGGCCGGGCGGCCGGGAGCCCGCATGAGCCGCGGGGCTGGGTCACATTTCGGGGGGCAGCCGACAGTTCCGTCCCACGCCTGCTGAGGACAACCGCGGCAGCGCGGCCTGCCCTTTGCGCCCCGGGTTCCGCGCGCCGCGCCTCTGGCGACCCGAGGCTCAGGGCGGAGGCGCTGCGGCCACGCCCCCCCGGGCTTCCACAGGAACCGAGGGTGAACGACTCGCGGAGCCCCCACGCGCGCGCCTCCGGCTACCCAGCTGGATGGCAGCGTGAGGGCAGTTCTCGTGGATTTATAGCCCCCAGCCATTTGGCTGTCAGTCCTGAGAATCTGAGAGTTTCCACCTCTCGGGTTCATGCCCAGACCAACCCGGTCACTCCGCAGGTAAAACCTCCCTCTGGTAATGAGCGAGGCGAGAGCATTGCAAAGAGATTCTGGTATTCAGGCCGGTCTGATGGTCATTTAAAGTTCCGTACTGGAAGAAGGGTGAAATGGAGAGTTATTTCTCAATATACTGTTAGGCACTCAGCCATAGATCTTACAGTCATGCATCATTTGAGATGACAGTTTTACCTCCAGAGAAATGCGTCTTAGGCGAATTTGTGTGAATATCTTAGAGTGTACCTACACACACCTGTAGGGTATAGCCTCTTACACGCCTAGGCTATATGGTATCGGCTGTTGCTCCTAGTCTGCAAACTTGTACAGCATGTGACCGCACTGAATACCGCAGGCAACTGTAACACAATGGCAAATATCTGTGTATCTAAACATGTCTAAACATAGAAAAGTTACGGTAAAAGTACCGTATGAAAAATTCTAAAAATGGTGCACCTGTATAGCGCACTTTCCATGAGTGGACCTTGCAGGACTGGAGGTCGCTCTGGGTGAGTCAGTGAGTGGTGAGTGAACGTGAAGTCCCAGGATATCACGGTGTACGACTGTAGGCTTTATAAGCACTGCATTAACACTTAGGCTACGCTAAATTTTTTGTTCACTTCCATCATTATGATCGTAAGTCTTGTGGGTTAAATAGGATAAAAAATTAGCTCAATATATTGTAGATCTAATCATGAAAGCCAAACCATAATATTTTCTCAAGTGTAAGAGGCATATAAGAAAATTATTAAAGGCACAAACTTTGAAATTAGATGAACCATTCAGGTTCCAGTTTCTGCTGCTTATTGAAAGAACGACCTGTCCAAGTCTGTCTCCTTGTTTTGAAACTTGGGGTAACGTGACTAACTCTCAGAATTGTTGTAAGGATTGAAGAAGGCGGTTAGTAAATGTAAATTTCTTAGCTAGGATCTGACTCAAAGAAAGAATTCAGTAACTTCATATTATTAGTGTGTATTATCCTTGGAAATCATTTAGGAATTAAACTAGGACAGAAAATATTTATTTTTTGTCTGTGGTATTAGTGTTTGGGGTGGGAGGTAAGGGTATATTTAGATATGTAAATAGCATAAATTTTTGCTACCAAAGTGTTTGGGGCCAATCATTTTTTGATATATAAACTTTTGTACGCATTTCTGTTCAAATATGAATTGTTCAGGTCCTTCAGGAGGCTAAAGCAGACCTATACAAAGCCTTCCCTTGTCTCCTAAGCCTTTTGAACTTGAACAGTGACATTTCATTATTTCACCAAGTTTTTCTCCAGCTGGGAGGGAAGTGGGAACAGGGTAGGGGATTGGGTAACTGTGACTTGCAGTTTCTTCCCCCATAAGTGGGGTGTCACTTGTTTGAGTGCATGTGACATGTTTTCTGCATGCCTCTCATCCCCTCTCTCCTTTCCTCTTCAAGTTCCACTTGGTACTTGTCAGAAGGCAGTCGAAATTTTACCTGTAAGGCTTGTCTTTTATATGTTAACAAACTCACCACTCTGTCCTCAGAATGCCTAGGTGTTCTACAGGATGAGTGTGACCTGAGAACTTGCCACGCATTCAGCTGATGTTTTCCATGCATTGAAATAAAGAGTGGAGTCACAGCTTTTCTTTTGTTTTCCACCTGTGACCCAGAACTCACCATAGTGAGTTTCCTTAGTACCTTTAAAATCTAACCTCTTACCTACCTCTGTTAATTTTGGGAATCAGCAGTCCTGGTTCCTCCCATCTAAGCCCTCCCAGGCAATATAACCTTAAGTGTGTTCTTCAGGGACTTTTGAAATGATGTTTTTGAATTGGTGTTTTTTTCTACTTCTCAACTTTACAACTCCTCTTGCCATAATTTACCATATTGAGATTTTACTTTTGTGGAGCCTGATGTATAGGATTTCCAGGTTTCTTGATCAAAAAGTCCATAAACCACTACTCCTTATCTCCCACCCCACCCCAAACACTAATATCACAGACAAAAAATAAAATTTTTCTATCCTAGTTTAGTTTCTGAATGGTTTCCAAGGATAATACATACTAATAACATGAAGTTACTGAATTCTTTCTTTGGGTCAGATCCTAGCTAAGAAATTTATTAACTACCTTCTTCAATTACTACAACAATTCTGAGAGTTAGTCACATTACCCCAAGTTTCAAAACAGGGAAGCAGAGCTGGACAGGTCGTTCCTTTAATAATCATCAGAAACCAGAAACTAAATGCTGGTTCATCTAATTTCAAAGTTTGTGCTTTTAATGATTTCCTTATATGCCTCTTACACTTGAGAAAATGTTATGGTTTAGCTTTTATGATTAGGTCTACAATACATTGAGCTAATTTTTGTCTATGGTATGAGAAAACAGTAGAGATTTTTTTTTATATGGATGTCTTATTGATTTTTGAGGTCGAAACTTTAAAACAGCATGAATATAATTGCCAAAGGTTAAATATTCAGCATACGTAATGAATTGCTTCAAACAAATTAAAAACAAAAGAAAAAGACAATCTAATATTGAGTTTATACAGGTTACACACCACTTAGTTGCCACTGTCGTCTTCTGAGAAATGACGAGAAACCCTGGCTCCCTAATATCAACACATTTCTTGGAAAGTAAATTAATTCTCTCAGGAAGGCAAAAGGGAAAGTACCTACCCTGGAATATAAACCTTTGGCTATGGCAGGGAGATAAATTTTATTACTCTTTGAATGAGACTAGATGGCTCCAGGCCTAACACCCTTGCAATGTGCGGAGCAAATGACTCTGTGGAAGGGGAGACAGCCTATGGCAAGTCAATTTCCTTTACTCAGGAAGACAAACCATCTGGAAATGTGAAAGTATTTGACATCTCATTATTTGAATATACTCCATTTGATTGCCCATTCATCTGTTGATAGATATTTGGGTTGTTTCATTATTGAGTTGTAGGTGTTGTTTATTCTGGGTACAAGTTCTTTGTCAGATATGCGCGTTGCGAATATTTTTGCCCACCTCATGGTTTGCCTTTTTGTTTTTACAATGATATCTGTAAGAGCAAAAGTTTTTAATATTGATGCAGTCAAGTTTTTCAAATTTTTTTCTTTACGATTGTGGTGTCTCATCTAAGAAGTGTTTGTGTATCCCAAGGTTAAAGATAATTTTTCCTAGAAATATTATAGTTTTACCTTTTATAATTAAAAGCTATTTATAATTGACCTTTTTTTTTAATATATGAGAAAAGAGTAGAGATCAATTTTTTTCAATACAGATGTCTTATTGGTTTTTGAGGTTTTTATACTATTTGTTAAAAAGACTTTTATTCCTAAAAATAAAAAGACTTTCATTCCACATTAAATTTCTTTAGCCATTATTGTTGAAAATTTATTGAAAATATGTGTATTTGGTCATTTTTAGATATCTACTCGTTGGTCTATTTGTCCATTTTTGCACCAATACTATGTTTTAACAAAAGGAACCTTTTAGTTTTTATTTTTGTACTTGTATACTGAAAAGTTGCAAAGGCAGCAGTGCAGAGTTTCTGTACACTCCTCACACAGTTGCATCACCCTGGTAAAATTTGAAAACTAAGAAACCTCTATTTCCATTGCCACATTACGGTTAAGCAAACTTTGGATTTTATCTGGATTTCTCTAGTTTTTCTTTTTGTTTTGTTTTGTTTTGAGATGGAGTCTTGCTCACTCTGTCACCCAGGCTAGGGTGCAGTGGCATGATCTCTTGGTCACTGCAACCTCTGTCTCCAGAGTTCAAGTGATTTTCTTGCCTCAGCCTTCCGAGTAGCTGAGATTACAGGTGCTAACCACCACGTCCACCTAATTTTTGTATTTTAGTAGAGATGGGGTTTCACCATGTTGGCCAGGATGATCTTGAACTCCTGACCTCAAGTGATCCACCTGCCTCAGCCTCTCAAAGTACTGGGATTACAAGTGTGAACCACCACACCTGGTCTGGATTTCTCTAGTTTTTTATTTATGTTCCAGGATCCGATCCAAGTTACCATGATACATTTAGT